ATTATATATATTTTTATTATTTTACATTATAGAAAAGAAAAACGTATTTTTCATATATGTCTATTCTATTTTACAGTTTTTATCAACAAAAAAATGTTACATGTATGTGAATATCTGGTCGCCATATTTGAGAAAAATTTGAGAAATATTTAAATTCTTTATGGATTGATTCTAAGAAGGATGCCAAAAACTTAAAATTTCGAGTTTATATGTGCATTTGATACCTATTAAATTAATGATAAATCATTTTCAAAAGAAATGATGATCTCTTATTTTTGAAAAATTAATAAAAAAGTATCGAGTATTGGAAAATATGAATATAAATAGAATTCAGAAATATATGTAATGTATACATATAATCGAGTGAGTAAACGTTTGAATATTTATTTCGTTATATTATTATAGGTCGTGAATTCAAAATTTTGAACAAATAACTTTTTATGTCTTATTTTATAAATCTTATTTTATATATCTTTTAATATTAATATTATATTTCTTTTTAATATTAATTTTTATAATATTTTGAAAAAATTTTTATTATTTTTATTTATTTATTTATTTATTATATAAAGTGAAGTATTTATTATATATAGTTATTTTATTATAATAAAAAAAATCCTATATATTTTTACAATTTTGCATATGAAAATTCTAAAAAAAATTTAAAGTATGAAAAATTATTGCATTAAAAAATTTTATGAAAGAAATTTCATTATCATAAATAAATGCGAATCTCATTTTAGAAATATAATTTTTCATAATTTTTTATATATAATTTTTTTAGAAACAATATTTCTAAGTATATTATGTTTGTTTGATAATTGCATATTATCGAATTTATTTTTTAAAATTTTATTATATATATATAAATATTTATTCTTCTCTATATATCAATAATAATGAGAAATAGTTTTTTTTTGCGTATAATATTTTTGACTTTTTAAATAAATTTTATGTACATTTGTAATGTCTCATTGGTAACTAAAGCTTGTTACTCATGATTAATTTCAAATTCTTCGCGATTACTTAAACTTTGCGTATATGATGATTAAATAAACTAACTCTCGAAATATCACTTTTGCACAGAAATAAGATAAATTAACTTTGATATGATTATTAAGAATTTAAAAATATATAAATATTCTATGAAATGTTTTATATAAAAAATTTTATTCTATAAAACTTCGAAAATATTTTAAATATTTTCTGAAACATAACTATTTTGAATCATATTCTTTCCATTTTTTAAAAAATTAAGAATGGAGTTAAAGATGGATTTATTTCTTAGGAAATGATAATCTCAAGTCATTTTCTTTTAGTGCAGTTTCTATATATTTCTGAGACAAAACTACTATGGTTATTAGTGGAAGTAACAGTGGAAATAACTTGGTACAGATTTTTAGGCCAGAGATTTATTAAAAATAATTACTAAGATTCATAGTATTATTAGAATATAACTTAATGATATTATCGATCTAGAAATTAAAAGAATTTTCGAACTTTTTTTATATATCTTGCAGATTTAGATATTAGGAAAAATTTTCATGAATAAATTTACCATAAAGTGTTTCCATTGCCTTGTGGCAATAGTTTTAAATATACCATTCATTTTGATAAATAATTCTGAATTATATAAAGTACCATAACGAAAAAAAGATTTATGTCTAATTTAAATCATTCAATAAATATATATAATATATATAATTATATAATATATATTATATAATATATATAATGTTATATAATATAACATATATAATATATAATTAATTAGGTAGGAAGATATTTTTCGTCGTTTTCTAAAATATGGAATTTTGGTGAAAGGATATTGAGGAATATTTTTTTTCTTTTTTGAAGATTCCATCTGTCATAGATACAGAGACCATTTTGATATATGCTATGCTACACTTTTAAATATATGCTTCATCAGCTTCCTTTCAGTATAGTTTTTTATAAATATCGCCTTTTTTAAATAATAATTAAGTTTGGTGGTATCTAACCAAATCTCTACCTTTTATGTCGCTTTTGCAATCCATAGATATTTACTATGTAGATATTGCTTCTAAAACTGTTATTGGATATATTGGATAAGTTGAAATGTAGTGTGTTCTGTCTTTGATTGGCGATTTGATTGGTAGAAATCTAAGATTATGACTTTGATCGCCTCATTAGAAAGATCGACATAATTTGTTGATTTTTTTCTCTATTGATCATTTTATAGGTTATTCAAAATTCTATTTCTCAAAAGTTAGTTTCTTCAATTAAAAAATTTTATTGCGAAAATCATTCAAATTTAAATTATGTTTTGAATCTTATTTAAACGTACTAACAGGATGTGTTATGTGAAGTAATTTTCATAATAATATTATATTTGTATATTTTATATATTCTCTATACATTACACACAAATAAAGAACATTAAACGATTGTTGGTAATTCATTTTCTGATAGACCATGATCGATTTTAAAAGATCAAAAAAATAGTATTTACAAAAATTAGTCCACTTCTTTATTAGATAAAAGAAGATAACTATTATGTCATCAATAAAAGTTTATATAAAAAAAGAATCATTGCAGTATTTATGGATGCTAACAAAAATGGACATAAATATAGAAGCAATTAAAATCGATAATATTATAGATATTAATATTTCACAGTATTCAAAAATGGAAGAATATATACCCAATTCTTAGCAAATTAAATAGAATCTTTAAGAAAATTTTTAGATGTAATTGTTTTTAATAAATAATATTTTAATATTTATATAACAACAAAGTAAAAATTTAAATTAGTACAAGATATATCCAAATTTTAAAAGGAAAAAATACTAATTCAAAGAAGATAAAAAAAAGCTATGAAATTCTTAGAAATATACATCCAAAAATTAATATAAATGAATATTAAATCTTGATTAGAATAGCTAAATAATTTATGTTATATTCATCTTATTCAAGATTGAACAAAAAACTCAAATCTGATTAAGATATTCAATAACAAACAAATGTATTTAACTGGAATATGCCTTCTATTATTAACTTATACTAATAACTTATACTAATTTATCAAATGTTCTCATGAACAAATTGTAAATTATCTCAAGAAAAATAAAAAAAAATTGTTTTGTTCCAAAATTATTAACAGCAAAGAAGAAATCTCAGCGTCTTGGCCGTCAAAATTGAGAGATTGACACAAATAATTTTTGCCTTCAGATTATTCTTCAGAAACGTGAAAACGAGTTAGCCATTTTTTAATTCGTTATAGCGTTGGAAGAGATTAAGAAATCTTCGCATCTCGATGGATTATATCTTTAAGAATTACCATCACTAAAGTTCTAGAGATGCAAGTTATTGAGATTTTGTACGAATAAATCGAAATAAATATAAAAATTAATTTTTGTTTCCATTAATACAAAAAAAAGAGAATCAAAAAGAAAAATAATGAACCTACAACATGCTAGATTTGTCACTAATAATAAATAAAATTATTTCTAAAAAATCTATCGCAAAAAAAGGAAAAAGGAAAAGAAAAAATCGACATAGAGGGAGAATTAATTTCAATTTCTACTGTTTTTGTTATGCTTGCAAGATGAATTCATCTTGGAATTTATTGGCTGTTGGTTGAGAAACCATCAACGATTGAAAAATTAAAATAATTATTGATAAAACTCAATTTTAAATCTTTTGAGAATGGATCATATTCCCAAGATAAATTTTGATACATCAGATTAAAAATGTCTTTTCGATCTCTGGAAAAAATTACGTAATTATGGTCGATATAATTTTTCGTTAAAGATAGAAAATTTTAAAATTAAAATTTTAATTTTAATTTGAAGAAAATTTTTAATTTGAAGAAAAGCTAATTAATATGAATGAAGATTATTTTAAGTACTAATTTTCTTGAGAAAAATTCAATTAAATTTTTCAATTTTTTTAGAAAAATGTTTATGAATGAAAAAGAAATTATTTTCAAAAAAAAAGAAAAAAATATTCAAAAACAAAAAACAAAAAATGAGAAAGAAGATAAGAGTAAAGAAAAGATTTCTAAATATTTACAAGAATTTTATCAACATTATGCAAAAAGATTGACAGAACAACAAAAAGTTAAATTTTCAAAATTAGTTATCGAATTTCAAAGTGTGTTCGCAAAGAACTCGAAAGAAATTAGGAAATATGTCATCATTCAACATAAAATCAATACTAAAAAACATCGATTTATTAAGCAAGCATTGCGACAATTGTCTTATAGCTTTCGTGAAGAATGAAATAGATGAATATCAAAAAAGATATTGAAATGAAAAATAATAATTAAAAATTAATAGAAAAATCGAATAGTTCCTGATCTTATCTGATTGTGTATGTTAAAAGAAAGAAAGATTGAGAAAGAAGAAGAAAGATTGTGTATGTTACAATAATACATATATATACATACATATATATATATAGAATAAAAAAGACAACAAATAAAACAACAAATATAATAAAATAAAAAAGATTCTTATTCATTCCCAAAAATAGAAGAAATTGATATTTTATTCTATTCTTGATTTTTTATGTTAATCTCTATTTTTTTCGTTAATCTTTAAAATTTTTAAAGATTATTTTTATTGAAAAAAATAAAGAGCAATTATTTTTTTGTATAGGAACTGACAATTTAAAATAACGCCATTTGAATTTTGTAACATTTCTGTCATATTTAATGATATGTCTCGTGCTCGCTTATATTTTTGCGCATAATAAGAACCAAAAAAATAACTGTTTTGGATTTGTAATGTACAAAATTTTTTATTTATAAAAATTGAAGCGACAAATATTTTTTGAAAAATGATAATGTTCGAAACAAGATATGCTTTTGATAAATTATAATATTGTGAGCTTCCTGATGTTAATCGAGCTAAATGCTTTCCGATTCTGAATTGAAGTTAAATGTATAATGCACTGCATAAGTTCCAGAGGCGGTAAACATTTTCCCTACCACATTGATATGTATTTGATAGTAGTAGATGTGATAAGTTTCCATTATAAGAATTCGATTATATGTTTATTTAGATTGGCTTATCTTGCTAGACTCTATATTTTTTCGAGTGCTTATGCAATAATGCACAGTAATATTTCTCGAAATAGTTTTATCAGCTCTTAAATATAAATTTTTTTTAATTTTCTGTTTTTCGCAGTTTTTTCTCTTAACTAATTCCTTATTACTTATAATACATCCTTATTACTTATAATAATAGCTTGAGGATAGGGAATGAAATTTCGTGGATGGGCGAGAGTTTGATAACGTGGAAATCCCTAAATTTTGAAGTTCCAGAAAACTAATATATATATTTTTTTTAATTATTTACAATTTATTAATTTATGTTTATAAAATATATTACTAATATATATATGTTTATTAATATATATATATATATATATATGTTTATTAAATATATTACTAATATGTTATCTGTGTTAACGTAACGGCTTTCGAAATCCCAACATTTTGCCTATCTTGCATTTCAATATATTCAATTTATATGTATATGCAAATAAATTAAACTATTTACTTTTTTTTTATTTAAATTAACTATTAAAAAATTATTGTTATTTATATTGAATAAAATTATTTACAAAATATCTTACATTAAATAATTAGATAGTAGATTAAATTATTTACATTCGAAACGAGATCATCATATATCTCGGAATTTTCATTTTTCTTCAATGTCCTTTCATTTTCTTCAATGATTAACATACGAATTCGATTCATTAATTATTTGAAGATACTGCTGTCTTTATCGATATCACTTTTATTGTGTCATCTGTTCTTAGATATAATTCTGTTTAAAAATAATGTTTAATTTTTATTTTTTCATAAGAACGATAAGTTATTATTCTTGATTATGATCAATGATTAAACAAACAGAGTTTTCGTCAATTTATTCTTTTGTTATATTTAATGCACTTAAATTTGCTCCATCTTTGTCAGAAATGCTGGATCATCTGCTGGATCAAAAATTATCTGTTCAATTTATTAATGTTCTGAAAATCATGTTTTAAGATATTCAAAGTATTACCAATCAGAAAATAATTGGGAGTGAGTTCAAGTCAAAAAGATATAGAATTATAAATAGATAATACGTTTCAAACAATACATAACTTTTTAAATGTCAGGCACTATTCCTTAATGATTCTAAATAAATATTTTGCCGATTTGATATTCTTCTATAACTCATTGAAGTGAGCATGTGAGAGAAATTTTATATATTTTTTGTTTAAGAATTAAGATATTATATATAGCAATATTCTTTCACGCACTTTTCACAAATGAAATTTATTTCATTCTCTGACACTATGTGTAAACATCATCCTCTATGTAATGAATTTAAACAATTTAAATACGCTTCTGTATTAAAATCTATGATCAATTCAAAATGTACTGTTTTTATATGTAAATAGACAAAATATGTAATAGACATAAATGTCTTCGTAGTTACTTTGCTGCAAAAACTTTTAAGAAAAGAATCCATGTAATCAGTCATATAAAATAATGGAATTAACGATATCTGGACTGTAATTTACCTGTTTGATATTTTTCATTATAAAGATGGAAACATCTTATGTATCTATAATGTCCGCCAAATATTATATTTATTTATAATAACAAATAACGCCAAAAACAACAACATAAGCAACAACATAAGCATATCATACTCATAATTTATTAAATCGATGATTGAATGTTTATTTGAATATATCATAGAATGCCTTTACACGAATAAAAAGAATGAAGAAGAAAGAATACTTTCAATAATCTATCGCTCATCTTAATTAATTCTTTATTTATAAATGAATTTAATGATGTCAACTTAATTTGATTATGCCTTTATTTTTTGATAAATGATCGTAAATTTCTTTGAAAATGTCTTATTTTGTGTCATTTTCAAAAATCAATTGTTTTGCAAATTATATTCAAATAAAAGACGACAAACGGATCGATCAAACGCATGAAGGAATTTAAAAAAAAAAAAAATAACTTTTTGTCCAAATTGTCCGGATCAATCCTCTTTATATAGAAGCTTTGTATAGAATGTTTTAAAATTTTACATTCAAAATAATTTTTTTAATAAATTTTTTATTATTTTTATAACAATTTAATAGTTTTAATACAGAATATCTTTTCAAATACCTATGAAGATCGTTCATAAGTAGTCAAATAACCTGAATATGGGTGACGCAACAGTCAACGTGTTAAAATTGATCCATTTGATCAGATAATTTTGTATTTATAATGACATGATAATTATTTCCTTCGAAATGATGGTTATGTGGTTCAATTATTTGATCTGGAATTGATTTTTCTGTTACATCAAATCTCTATCTGTCTATTGGTTTATGCACAATAATTTCCTAAATAAATAGTGGTTATAAACATGTCTATTTAGCGATAAAACCCAAAAATAATAGATCTGTCAATATTATATTTGAAGAGGTAAGTATTTGAATTTGTCCATTTTTCAATGGAATATTAGATACATATTTTGGAGAGATATCCTTATTTGAAAATTAAATTAAGAATGAAATTGTGAGTATTTGTTTTTTTATAGTATTTACTTCTTCTGAGGTTCTTGTCTTTATCAGTATTTTTAATAATACAATTTTTCTTGTTAACTTCAACCCGTTCCTGGAACTATGGAATATATAATAAAAATAATTATTACGAAGTTTGATTTATTAGACGATCAAAGGCAAAGTCCATGTAGTTTTACACTATCATTAAAATTCGAAGTTCAAAGAATTCTTGTAGTCCTTGATAGTTCTTTTTAGTTGTTTTTTAGTTGTTTTTTAGTTGTTTTTATAATTCTCATCTTTTTGAAGTTCTGGCAAGCTTTTAAGGGTTCTCCTCCAGACTGGTACCCTCTAAAGTCTTTGTCATTTCCACTCGTGAACTTGCGGATTTTTAGTACATAAGTATTCAATAACGCTGAGAATCAACCCCCTAATTGAACAATACCTCGAACCAAAGGAAGCTCTTTAGAATGAGGGATTACGCTATTCATAACTAAGTTGTTTTCTCAAAAAGCTATTTCGCACGTATTTGCAATAATTCCTTTCAGATAGCATGATGCTGATTGCCGTTGAAACTGGCATGTCGTCTTAAGTACCAAGATTATATTGACATTCCAGCTATATCGAATTATTTCTAAATGTGCAAAGCAAATAGTTACCAAATTTTTCTCTCAAAAACGGCAACATTATTGTCCTGTAAATCTTAAGCTATCTGTTCATATTTGATCACCATTCAGTATCTGTATCAGTAACAATTCTTTTGAAAATAAATGTACCTGAAATACAATAAAACACGAAATTTAAATTTCATGTTTATCTAATTCTCACATAGATTACTATTTGTTATATTCATACAAAACTTTCTGTTTTCAATTGTGATTCTCTAATATTTAATCAAAGATGGATTCAAGGAATAACAATAACGTGTAATCTATCATATTAACTATCGCTTATGTGTATTTTTAAAACTTTATGTTCTATCGACAATCAATTAAATTTCTGATATTTTTTGATGTTCATCTATGCGTGATTATCATAACAGCACATATTGTATCAGTATGTGTTATTTACTGTTGATCGATCTACAATATTGATTTCAATTTCTGTTCATTGTTCTCAGTTGTTAACTAAGCATTATTCTTATTGACTTCTGAATTAAAGTATATATAAATTAAATAGATTTATTTTAAAGATTTGGAGATTGATAATATTTATTTTATTGGTTGCTGGATATTGTACTCTACACTCTGCTTTCAATTGCCAATTTAATCTCATTTGGATATCATAGTGGTTCAAATCTTCAAAATGTGTTGTTGCTTGTGTTAATTTCACACATTATTTTTCAACATTAGACTTTTTTTTTCAAACTTTATTCCAATATATTTTAATAAAACTGGAAATTTCGTCCACTGATTTTGATGCTGATTCTGTTTTATTCGAAGAAATAACAGCTTTAGCTTTCTCATTTCCACCATTGGTATAATGATATCTTGAGGATATAGGATGATGGGTCATTTTCTGAAACACATCACTTATCGGCTCCGGCAATCGAGCCCAAAACTAGTCGACGAAGTTTATTTATTTATTCTTTTAGAATAATGATCTCTTCTTATAATCCTCTAACGTTAAGATACGTTATAATACTCTTTTAATGTTAAGATTACATAACTATCATTATTTCCTCGAATCGCTTTTTTTATCGATATGAATCTTTATTCATACCAACAATGATTTTGTGATTCCGGCTGAGATTATTATGGGATTATACAAAGTACAACATCACTGAAACCATTATCATAGGCTATATGCTACTATACTATAAATTTCTATAGTCGATACCTAAATAAATTTCATATATATATTCATATAATTTCATCATATATATTTTCAAGTGGCTTTTCTTTTGCCTCTCGATTCTTTTTCGTTCCGCTATTTCTTTTTGCTTTTTATCATCACTATATATAAAAGAAATTATTATAGTTATAAAAGAAGTTATAAAAGAAAACTACTGTGCTTCATTTCTGTCTCCAGCATTTATTGCTCGCGAGATTTATGACGAGCTTATTTGAAAAAATTTCTATAATAGAAATCTTCTTATTATCATCGGTCCTCCATTGAGTCTAAAGAAAAAATAATATTGTCTGAGAAGACTATTATTTTTTAAAAAGAGTTAAGTCAACGTATTTGCAATTATATATTTTTGACTTATTTCAGCAAAACTCGATTCCAAGAGTGACATATTTTAGACACGGTTGACTCGACAGTAACCAACATTTTATTTTGAGAAAATCTATAATAAATCTATAATAAATATAGATTGATCAATTCCTTATTAATATCTTGGTATCTTTATATACTAATTATCAACTCAATTAGAGAAATTTTTCTCTTGAGGTTGATACGAGTTAAGCACTGACAGCAATATTATTGGTTATCATGAAATGGTTATTGGTTGATTGTTATTATGATATATATTATAATTCTTCTAATTGAACTTGGAAGATATTTCATTAAAAAGTGAAAAGAATCTAATTAGCAACAAATAGTTTCTCTATATACGCATTTTGATACAATCACTTACTGTGATATTATGAAAGATCCAATTCTTATATAGATACGCGTCTTATGTAGATACTTA